ACATGTTTCTTAAAAGAAACACAATAATTACTTTTAAAAATTAAGTTAAAACTCCCTTGAAACTTTCCTTCTTTTTGTTCTTAATGAACACTCTGTCCATTTTTTTTCTGGTCTACCGGCTTTTAAAGCTGAATCAAGTTCAGCTTTTTTATTCTGAAACAACTCACCCTCTAACCAGGGTACTTCTTGTTTAGTTAGTCTTGCAAAATTACGATTATGCTTTGTATACTTTACTCTAAATTTCAGAATAAAAAGTCTAATTTTTTCTGAGAGTTCCACATCGGACAGTTCTTCATAGGTGATCATTTTTTTTTCTCACTTCAGCTTCTAAAACAGCTTGCAAACCCATATGATTAATACCAACTTCCTCAATTATGTTTAAAATTTCTATTCTTTTCATGCTTAATCATCAACAAAGAAAACGCTTGAATAATCTTGCAAACAAACTCTTGTACACTTTAGCATAAATATTTTCCGAAAACAATTTAATTTCAACTTCCTTTACAGTAATTGAATTTTTTTTTGAGTTTAAATAAGATTAGTATAAAAAAACTGCTTTTGATAAAAAGCAAAAATCGGAAAAATATTTTGGCCACTTTTTCGCGATTTGGACTCACTGTTCGTCACCTATATATGGCAACCTAAAATATTTGAAAATAAGGCATTTGTTATTATTGAATTAGATGTTACATATTTTTTCAGTAAAATGAAAGTTTATATTTATCACGAAGTTTAATTAGATACTGATTTTTTAATAAGAAATGGTTGTTTACATTTATCAAGAAGTTTAATTGGATACTGGTTTTTTAATAAGCACGTTTTTAGGTTAATAATATCCTTATGGTAACCAAACCAGGTATTATTAATTTTAAAACAACGGTCAATAAGAGTTTTAACTAGTCCAAACTTGTTAGCTAATTAAGGTAAAGCTAAAAAATGTTGTCAAAAGACCATTATATGTCTCCTTATGGTAAATGTTAGTGATCAAATCATGGTTATTATCAAAGCAAACATCCAAAAATGGTAAAATACTATTTCGTTCATGTTTACATGTAAATTTGATGTTAGGATGTTTAGAATTAAAATACTGTAAAAAAACCGTACTGTCGGTTTATATCTTTTATAAAATAAAGGTTTATTCCCGTGAAAATCATTTAAATAATTACTTTCTAAGTACTCTATGAATAAATTAGCTAAAACAGGAGCAAGTGGAAACCACACAGTTACACCATAAATTGGATCATAATATATACCCCATAACAAAAAAAGAGAAATACATTGCTGCAAAATAAAAAATTACAATGCTGCAAACCTTAATAATTTTTGTAAATAAGCATCAGAAATTAGCATTGGTTCTAGAAATAATCAAAACAAATTTATTGATTTATCTTAAAAGTTATGTAAAAAAAAATTAATTATAAAATTATCGCTTTGTTCTTTTAAAATAAGGCACTACTTTTAACTATAAGACTTACTTCCAAGAAATAGTAAATTAAATATTTCTTACAAATTTAATTGTACTAACTGTAATGTTTTCTACAAGGACGAACTGTCCATAATTTCTCACAACGCATTGATGAACATTTCAAGGACGATAAAAAATCGTGCATTTTTTATTATTTAATAAATAACATTGTCAAAGGAAGGAGTGTCAAAGGAAAGTGTCCTCTGATGGCTTTTCTTTTTTGGATTCTTCCCAAAGCGATAATGAATTAGACTTAAAGGTAATCTTGCATATAAAGTGGCAAAAGCCCTGTTTAAATAAACAAATCAAACATAGATTTCTTGAACTGTTTTAACTATTATGACGTTGATTTTATGAATTTTTTTTTTAACTTTTTGTACAAATGATGTTATTTTTAGTTGAGTTTTAAGACTGACGCGTTTTGTTATTGTATTTTATTGGTCGTTTTAACCCTTTGCACAGTAGTGAAAAAACCTCAAAAAATTAGTTATAAATCAAAATTTTTCAAAACATTTTAAAATTAATTTTTTTAAAATTTGCTTTTTTGTTTTAAATAATTTTATACGTACTTATTTTTATTGTAAATTTTTTGAAAAAACGCATTTTTTCATGTATTATATTTATACCGCCTGAGGGGTAGAAACATTTTTGTTTCATTTTTCCTATACTGCAAATGGTATATAACACTCTTAAAAATATTTAGTTCAAATTATTTAGTTTTTAAGTTTTTATAACAATTTTAAAGTCGAGTTGCTTTGATGCATTCGGCGATGATTAACAACAAATTTTTGAGTATTGTTGGAATCGCTTTATTTATTCCCATAGAAACGAATTTTCTATCTTAATCAGTTTTACAAAAAGTATAATATGAATAAGATTATGTTTGAAAGACAATATTAATATTAATGAATTTAAATAAAAATAACATTTATCAAAATATTACTTTACTAAAAATTACAATGTTAGTTAATTAATATTTATCATAATAGTACTCAAGCATATTAACACCAATTTTTATCAAGTCTATTATTTAAGCCTTGTAATAGTCTTCTAAAAAACCACTTTCTTCTTCGTCTACCTCTTCTTCCTTATTGAACACTTCTTTTTCGTCTGCGTCTTCTTCCTTATCTTTCTTTTTTTCATTTATCACTCTCTTCTTCTTCAACTTGTTTGTTTATTTAGATCGTTATTCCCTCAATTTCATGAACGTATACCAAATCTTTTTTTTTCATTGCTTTAGCAGAAGCCGCTCAGGGTTAGGGTTAGGGTAGAGTCAGGGTTAGGGTCAGGGTTAGGGTTAGGGTTACCCTAACCCTAACCCTGACCCTAACCCTAACATTAGCCCTGACAGTTTTTGATAAATTAGACAACGCTCGCCTATTAGTACAATGAATTTTCTCATTCCAGCATTCGTATTTTGGACCTTTATAAAAGATATTTATTCAAAATAGTATTTTCAAATTAATGACATATAATTAAAAATATATGTTTTTATATTTAATAAAGGCATTTATAAATAATGACATATATTAATAAATACTTCTTTTTTTTTTTTTGTTTGAGTCATCGAGAGAACTTGAAATACTGCTCCAAATAAATGAAGAAAAGTGAATTGCACTTTTTCTTGCAGTAATCGATTTGTTTCTTACAAAATCCTTAAGCCAATTGAACTCGTACTTTAAGAAACGGATTTTGTAACGATTGTATTTGATCATTTTGCACTTGGTTATAAGTTGGCTACGTTAACCAACTCGCATTAGAAAGTTGATATTCTATTTAAGTATTAAGTTAAGACCATAAGAAGACTTTTGTTTTTCTGTTTTGGGGAAGTGTGCGAAACAAAATGTGTATATCTGGTTAGAATAAAAAATTCGTTACTATTGAAATGAAAGCGATTCAAAAACCACTAAATGGGTTAACAGTTTTTGACTTTAAAGTTAAAAGGAATTATAAAAAAATGTATTTTTTCATAAACTAAACAAAAATTTATACCAAAAAGAAAATTTAATTAAGCAAAGTGACTTGGAAGAAGAAAAACTTTAAAAAAAAAAATCTTGGTTGAAGAAGAATAGAGTGATAAAGAAAAAAAGACCAACAAGGAAGAAGAGGAAGAAGAAGAAGAAGAAAAAGAAGAGATCGATAAGGAAATAGAGGGAGACGAAGAAGAAGGTGCTTTTTTTGTCCATTATTACAAGGCTTGATTAATAGAATTGACAAATAGTGGTGTTGATTTGCCTGAGTACTATTATGATCAATATTAATTAACTAACATTCTTGTTTTTTGTAAATTAATATTTTGATGAATGTTATTTTTATATAAATTTATAAATTATTTTTTTTGTCTTTGCACCTTAATTTTATTCATATTATATTTTTGTATAACTGATTAAGATAGAAAATTCGTTTCTATGAAAATAATAACGCAATTCCAGTAAATGGAGATAGTTGGCTTAATTGGAACACTTTAAAAATAAATATTTATCAACCAAAGATGGCCTAACTATGAAAACATTTATGATTTCATTAATAAAACATACATCCCTACTATACTTTTAACTACAATTTAATTTAATTGATTGTACTGTTATTGCGCTTATATAGAAATGTAAACATATTGCCAATAATGCTAATATTGGCCCTACAATATTGCGCCAATATTGTTTAGTCAATATTGGCCAATTATCTCAGTACAATTTTGTGCTAATATTAATATAAGTCAAAAATGGCCAATATCCGCAAAATGTTCATATTTTAATAATGGCGCGATGATGTTTAAGATATTGCACAAAAATTGTATATAATATCGCGCCAATAATAAGGATATATTACTGGCCAATATTAGTGTAATACAGTTTACAATATTATCCCGATATACATAACTATATAAGACTATTGAGTATTTTTGTATAAATTTTTTTAATTAGAAAATAATAAATAATATTGTCTTCTACAAATTTTTAATAATTAAAACTTATAACAGTTCTCTTGTTAAATGATACTATAGTGCTAAACTGCATTATTCTTTTGAGTTAAACAGGTTATAGTCTAGAAAATGACAATGATCATCGGACACGCTTTAAGAAAAAATAGTTTTATACTTTTAAATTTATTTGAGCTATATAAAACAGATTGAAATAAAAAAAAGAGAAATAGAGTGCCCTAAAACTAAAATATAGCAAAATAAAATCAATGCTATTTAAACAGAGGCAAAAAAAATATGTATATATATATATATATATATATATATATATATATATATATATATATATATATATATATATATATATATATATATATATGCATATATACAATAGCATTGACTTACATTATTTTGCCAATACTTATTTCATTGTTCAATATTGGGCGTTGCCCAGTTTTAGTTCTATTTTGTCTTCCGTAATCTCTATCAATGGCCGTTGCCAGAAAGCTGCCATTTTTTTTTTTTTTTTAATTCTTTTATCAGTAGCAATTTCGAATTGAACAAATAAAAATAAATGATTAAAAAAAATTAGGAACTATTAAAAACAACTCTACATAATGTTTTTTTAATATCACAACAAATTTTATATATATATATATATTTTTCCACGTATAAATATCGTAAAATAAATAGCTTTTACTAAAATATTTGTTTAATAAATAGATATGGGATGTAGAATACAAATATTGTGCTATACCTATGACAACCTAGCAGGAAGTATTTGCTTCCTTTCGTACATTGAGATTGAAAAACATATTTCTTTGGCTATTAGCTGTATTAAAGTTGCCGCTGTAAGTTCTTTGTAATTGTCTCCTTAAGCCGAACCAAGGAAGTTCATCTAAAATAAAAAAATAAAAAAAAGTGATATAATTGGTTGTATTAAAAGTTTAACAGCTCATCTTACATTTATAGTTTAGACGAGTTTCCATAAGGTGATATTCTTAATAAATTATATCATTATGGTAGAGTAAAAGTAATTGATTATAAATAGATGCTATCCCAGAGGTCAACCTTTTTTGCATATCAGGACTGATTTTTTTTAAAAAAAAACCTTTATAATGTAACACTAGAAAGAATACCATTCAGAATTTTATACAGGTTTGTGAGCTTCTCTTATCCTTGACCACAATTTCACAGTAGTATAAAATTCTCCAAGATTGTATTCGCCATAGCAAAAGGCTGTTGTCAAAACACCCTACAGATGTCATAGATGTGTGAGATTAGTAGTCATTGCTATACAAAATACATTTCTAACTGAGCATAAAAGATAAAAATCACAATTAAATGTATTACGCATTTAGAAAAAACATTCTTATATACAACATAATTATAATTAATAATGTATCATATTGTATCATTTGTTTGTATGTTTCATTTCAATGTATCGTATATTTTAAAAATTAAAAAATTTAGTTGTACAAAGTACTGCTTTAAAGGTTTCTTCAATCTTTGAGAAACTGATAGACAGTCTCATTAGCATCACTTTTTTTGTAACCTGCAAACTTTTAAGCTGGAGGCATAGATAATTCTTTTTCATCACTATCATTACCTGTTTCAACGCTTGATGTAAACTCTAACATTTCTATCCGTGCTAAAACAGTCTCATAACTGTCAAAAAATATATAAAGAAGAAATGAAACCATTCTAAACAATGAACATTTGTTATATTTGAGTTAATTCTAGCTGTTTAGATCAAAAACAAAGAAAATATTGTTAATAAGATAATTACCAAAATAAAACAAAAATTCTTATTTTCGGCTCCTTTCTGTTACTTTTAGAAGCAAACTTTCATTACTCCACTAGGAAAAGCAGATTACATTCATGGCACACATATTGTTGTTTTTTTATTAAAAAAATCAGCCATAACAAATTTTCTAAACTTTATTGCCATCTTCAGTTTAACGGTACAACAGCTAAAAAAATCATAACAAATAAATACATGATATAAAAAAACATAATATAAGTTTTATTTTTTTCAGATTATTATTTTTTTTTTATTCAAAATATTAGTCTAAATATTATTGAGTTTCATTTCTTAATGTGTAATGTAATCGCTTTTTATTTCAACAAGAGTTTGATTATTGGTTAGTAAAAGAAAGTGAATTTTAAAGTTTGCATGGTTTCGAAAGGTTTTCATAATATTATTTTCTTATTTAAATATGACAATAAGGAAGAGTTAAGAATATTTGTTACAATTTTATTTTTATTACTGTTTTCATTCTCCATTATAGTTTGCCTTTACTACGGCTAAAGAGCCGTAAAAAATCAGCCAGAACAAATTTTCTAATCTTTATTACCATGCTGTAATATTGCTTGACAATATTGGCGCAATATTGGATATCTTGGCCGAGATTCGCCAAGATATCCAATATTGCGCCAATATTGCGCAAATATTGTTTGCTACTTAGGTGGTATCCTTATTCGGAACATTTTGATTTCTTAATCAGAACAGGTTAAATTTAAAAAAAGCAGTCAAATAAACACAAAAGGTTAAAAATGACTTTTTCATTTACAGTAAAAATTTCAATAGTAAACTAAACAAAATCCAAAACTCTTGTTTTAAGCAAAAAATGTTTTAAAACAAGTAAAAAAATGACTTGTCCGCCACGTAAGAATATTTTTACTTGTTTCAAGAATTTTTATTCTTAAAACAAGAACTTTGATTCTTAATATAAAATTTTTTTTTCTTGCTTTAAGGATTTTTATTCTTAATATAAGAACTTTTTTTCTTGTTTTAAGAATTTTTGTTCTTAAAACAAGAACTTTTTTTCTTGTTTCAAGAATTTGTATTCTTAAAATAAGATTTTTTTTTTCTTTTTTTCAAGAACTTATTTTCTTAAAATTTTGTATTTTTTTCTTGTTTTATAGAATATATATATATATATATATATATATATATATATATATATATATATATATATATATATATATATATATATATATATATATATATATATATATATATATATATATATATATATATATATATATATATATATATATATATAAAAACAATTAAAAAAAAAAATGTTTTTTTTGTTTTTTTTTTAATTTTTTATTTATTCAAAGTAAGTTTCACAATATAAGAATGAATAAGATTCATAAAATACATATAGTAAAAGTTACAAACTTTGTTAGCGTTAAAATAAGAAGAACGCGGATACTCGCAGAAGATCATTAGATCTTGTCATCGAGACCCGCCTAAACAGATTTTAAATAAAAAATAATCCTCTAATAATTCATTTATAAATATTCACACTTAAATAAAAATATAATTTTTTACACATTTAATTCTATAAAAACATACAAATATGTATACTTATGTATATATAAGTTAAGAAAAAAATATTTCATATATATAAATTACGATAAAAAGATTTCTTAAGAATATTAATATAAAACAAAACAAACTTAAAAATATATAAGAATGTTTTCAATTGAGAAAAGAATATTTTTCAACTTTCTTTTAAATAAGAGAATGCTCCATTCTTGAGAAAAATCAAAAAGTTTTAATATTACTTTGTTCCATAAAAACGCTCCTCTAAATGAAATGCAAAACTTACCAAAATTAGTTTTGAAAACTGGTTGAAGAATAAAACTTTCATTACTCGAAGCCGCATTAGCATAGTTTAGATGGCAATGAATAAAAGAGTGGTATAACTGAACTAAAGTATGTCTATTTAGCATGTTTCTTATTTTGAATAGTATTCCTATACTTTTGTAAATTTTAGATGATAAGTTTTCAATGTGTTTTTTCCATGTCAGATTTTCATCAATAAAAACTCCTAAAAAATTTTAGCCGTTACTCTTTTATGTCATTCTATGTCATCTATAGAAAGAGCAGGCAATTCACTCGGTAGAAGATACTTTTTGTAGCATGGATGAAAAAGAGACCATTTTGTTTTTTCAATATTAAGAGAAAGCTTATTTAATTTAAAACATTCAGAAATTTTAATTAATTCTATGTTCATACTTTGAAATTGTCGCTATGTTGCTATGAGATAAAAAAGTTCGTGTCGTCAATGTTTCCATTGATATCATCAGGACCGACTGTTTTATTTTGCTTTAACATTTTAAAAGCTCTATCAAATTTATCAAAAGAAAATTCAAAAGAATTTAGACAAGATATTAAAGGAAAACTACATCTGTTTATCATTTTATTTATATTAGAAATTTTCTTTGTTAAATTTGGTCCAACTGAAGTCAAGAAATCATTCATTTTATTTGCTACCACTCTCGTATCATAAACTATTTTATTATCAATTTTAATAGCTCTAGGTAGAGAGCTAGCTATCAATTTCTTACTGCCTGTAATTTCCCTTATAATTTGCCATGTTTGCTTTAAATTCTTTTTATACTTTTCTAGTAAATTTATATAGTTTTTTTTTAATTTTTTCTTTGGATTTCAAATTTTTTAGCGTAATTCTTATAATTTGTCTTACTTTCTAATGTTCTCGTTTTTAAATACTTTATGTACCACTTTTGCTTAACTTTAGAACTTATTCTTATATTTTTTGTAATCCATGGTGACGTGAAATCTTTATATTTTTTTTTTAGTATTTTGTGTTGAGGAAAATTAATATCATAAATTTCAAAAAATGTTTTTAAAAATGAATTATAGGCTGAATTAGCGTCATTAGAATCTATGTGTTTCCAATGAAGTAAATATAATTGTTCCTTAAAAGCAATGCAATTCACTTCCGTAAAAAAACGTTTAATGAAAGGTTTATTTTGGTGTAGAACTTTTTTGATGTCTGTGTTTATGGAGAAAAAAATAGGAAAGTGATCAGAGACGTCACTTTCAATAATACCTTTTCTTAAAGATAAGTTAAAAACGTCAGTTGTAATATTATCTAATATAGATGATGATGTTGATGATATTCTGGTAGGCTTATTTATTAACGGTATCGCTCCAATTTCAAAAATGCCACTGTAAACTTTTTTAATATTATTATTATTATTATTATTATTATTATTATTATTATTATTATTATTATTATGGTATTCAAAGCAATTTAAATTAAAATCACCAATTATGTAGTTTAATTTCCTTTCGTGGATACTTTTTTTAATTATATCATTATGTAAAAATGCATTAAAATTCTCAACTATGCCATTTGGTGGGCGATAACAACAACTTAAAATTATATTTTTAGTATTTTTAGTTGAAATTTCAATACTTAAAACCTCTCTATCGTCATCAGAAATACTTAGGCCTGGCCTGATATTAAACCGTAAGCATTTATTCACGTAAAAAATAACACCACCACCTTGCTTTTTATTTTTACGCGCTAAAGAAATTAAATTAAAACCTGGAAGATGGAGATTGGAATTTTTAACATTGTCAGAGCAGCACCATGACTCTGTAATGCATATTATGTTAAAAATATTAGAAGTTTCTTCTATATTACTATGAAAAGTATCAAAATTTTTTTTTTAACTTTTTATATTGAAATGAATAACATTGAGAAAATCCCCTTTAAGAAAATCTTTCAATTCATTGTTATAAAAATAAGAGCTGTTTTGCAGAGCACCTGCTTCACTAAAATAATTTATGTCAGGATCGGATCCATTATCAAGTAAAAAATCATTAGTTTGAAAAAAGTTAAATGAACTTGACTAGAAGCTATTTTGTTGGTTTGAATCCATTTTAGAATTTAGAATTTAAATAATTTTATAACTATGAAATGAAAATAAAATTTACTTAAAATCGCGTGTGAATAATTTATAATAAGCGAATAACTTTCTTCTTATTTCCATATTACGTTCACTAAAATCTTCGTTTTCTTTCCAGAGTTTAGCCTTTACGAACTTTTTTAAAATCGCGTTCTTGTCTTTAAAGCTTAAAAATTTTACAACAATAGTTCTATTTTTTATTTTCTTTTATTTTTTATTTTATTGAGTATTCTACAAAGTTGAGTGCTCAATGTTCTTAAAATAACAGAGTAATTATAAATTAGTAGAAAATCACTTAACAAAATTTTTTTTATTTTACACTGTGTTTCATCAACAAAGACTCATCAGAATTGAATGATCAAATTAATAAATAAATAAAATTAATAAAACTTCAATTTATACAAAAACATTAAATTACAGGAAGTCGCAAATGTTTTGCGACAAACATTTGTGGAATTTGTTGACACTATTATACAAAGAATTCTTTAGAAATGATTACTTATGCTTTTTTTTTTTTTTTTTTTTTCTATAAAAATATTTTTAAAAAAGGGAGGATTTAATGTTTTTATTATTTGAGCTCACTTATTTTTATAGTTTTTAGGAGAAACTTATTTTTGTGCCTGCATTTAGAAATAAATTCCGATTTTTTGTTTAACAAACGTTCTTGGTTTGCATGTGTAATTATTTGAAATATTTCTTGTAGACATAGTATGCATTTTTTGGAAATATTGTTGTATGCAGGCGCTGTTTTAAGGATGGACCAATTCAGTATAAAATCATCAATATTTTTATCTTTTACTTCCCATATATATTCTGACAGCATGGTATCTTTTGAATACTTTATATTTTTAAAAGATTGCTTATGATTGGCAAAACGTTTTTTCCATTCACCCTCCGTTATGCAAATATATTGTTTATTGGGTACATTCTTAGAGGAAACAACACATTTAAATACCAGATTTTTTGATAAACAACTTCCACTCATTGGACAATTGTTTTTTTGTTTTCAATTACAATTTTCTGTAGTTTTTTCATTTAGAAGTTCTCTGAAAATTCATAAAAAATTCTGATAACAGAATCGAATCAAGGTTTCAAGGTTTATTTTTTTAGCAATACTTTGGACTTCTAAATTAATTGAGTTTTCTAAATTTTTAGGGGCTTTCTTATAAGAACTAGTAATATTGTCGCGTAAAATTTTTGATTTTGAAACACTATTACATTTTACTCAATAAATATATGAAATCACAAATGAAAAAAAAAATCTTATGAATAGTACATTAAGGAAACATTGATACATCTCTAAAAATCCTGTAATCTCTCTCAATGGGAAATTTATTAACCCAGGTTTATAAATTTAAAATCTATACCTAGATCAATTAAAACAAGGATAAAAAATGTAAAAAATAAAATTAATTAATAATTATAAATTTACTAATTGAAAAGTATTGTTTTCTTTACTTACTTTACTTTGCATTTATATATATATATATATATATATATATATATATATATATATATATATATATATATATATATATATATATATATAAAAATAATACTTTATATATATATATATATATATATAAAGTATTATTTTTACGAATAACAGTTGTTACTAAGTACTTTTTAATTGCATTCGAACTATTTTTACAACCCTTTAATTTTTATTACTGATTATTACTGTTTTCTTTACTTACTTTACTTTGCATGTATATATATATATATATATATATATATATATATATATATATATATATATATATATATATATATATATATATATATATTTCCATTTTCTAGTGTCCCCTGATTGCAAATATATAAAAAAAAAACATTGTCAGACCACAATTTCAGCAATATGTAAACTTCCATTTTTTGTTAAAAACCAAAATTTTACACATTTTCCTAATAAAAATACTAAAGTGTGTCAAAAAATGTATATTTCAAAAATAATAAGATATATACATATTTCTAAACTGGGACTTGGTAAGATCTTTTTTAAGCTTATTTCTATTGACCCTGGGCACCAGCATTAAATTTTGTTACATATTGTCAGATTTATACCCACCTACAAAGTCCTGAATGAGGCGTATGTTTTTTTTAGCACAATCGTTGACGCAAGTCAAATTTTTAACTAATTTTTTGAATAAATCTAATGACTTTGGGGCTTTTTACATCCTCCACAGCTTTACTTAACCATCAGGGACTTCTGCAATTTTAACAGAAGCCAACTTTCTGGACCTACCAGTTCCCAAAGCTCAGTGGACTCTGATATGATTGGTATCTCAGGTTTTCCAATCTTGAACTTATCAGGAACATCGAACTGAACTAATATATCCAATATCTCTTTTTTCACTTCCTACTCTACATCATCATCAGCCAGAGATAGCAGCACTAACTGGTCAGTCAAGTACCAGGTATGTCTTTGCATACTAGCAACCAATGCTGAACCAAGATTTGGATATTTTTCTTTGATACAAAAAGCATTCTTAAAAGCTGCAAGATCATTTGAGGGTGAACTTGCAACCAAGTACGACTTTAGAAAACAAGGTGCATACCAGACAG